AACGTAAATCAACTTAACATAACATTACTTAAAGCGCAATTACCCACGGACGTAAAAACGGAGAACGTGTCAGCTGACACGATCTATCTTATGGGATCTGCGTGTTAACAAAAACTCACCCCCGCATGACCGTGATGTAGACGTTGCTTATCACTCTTTCTATCATACTTGGTATCTTTCTACGTACTTCTACGCTACGCTACGTACACGTTCGTGGGTAACCGCGCTCTTAGCCTCTCAGTACAAAAAATCTGAACATTTTTGTATGGGCTAGTTTTGGATCGTCAATTTTAAAAATACGATAAACAATTTTATGAAACTGTTAGTTTCAACGTTATTCAGCGTCTATTACCTTGGACACTGGTATCCTAGGTTTGTAAAATGTGATCTCTATCTCAAATCTGTGACTAGCACCTAAAATTGCTTTCATTAAAAAACACGGTCAAATACATCCATAACGTGTAACGTTAGAAAAACGTGCGCAAAAAGCGCACTGAGGGGGATGAATGTAAATGAACGACACGCAATGAAGAAGTGAGACTCTAATTGATTTAAAACAGAATTACAGTAGCATGCAATCGGAAATGATTTAAGTAATAAAATAAAATTAGCGACAAACATGCGAAAAAAAATTAAGTGAAATAGTGAAAAGAAGTCTTAAATGACATTTTATTATGATTTAATAAAAAAAATATCGTGCATCACCACAAATCAAATTTAATAATTAAAAAGTCCAATAAAACTAAGTGGTTTGCTTTTTCAATATTCATTTTACATTAATTTTATGTATGCATACACACAATGTACATATGTACCTACAGAAGTATGTATGTATATATAAGCGTACATACATACATATGTATGTCCATATTCATTTGCAAAACTTTGCGGTTTTCCTCAGTATTTCTCTTTATTGGCATTCCAATTGTACAGCGCGTGGCCATTTTTTTTTTTTGCGCATCGCAATCACATCCTTTTCGACTTTTTCTGGTTTTGGAAATTACTTTCAATATTATGCAATATTTTACATTTAAATCTATTTCTAGGTGCCACTGTATTGGTTTTCTCTATGCAATTTTTCGGTTTAGTTCTATTTAATTTGTGTCTTTGTGGTCAATGTGGTTGGAATTTGCAAATTTATCGATCATTTGCATGAGTCAAACGCGCGTGCTACATTTCAATGTAGTTTTTCTTTTTTTTATTCCTGTTCGAAACCACAGTTGAGGCAAAAATATAGCATTTGTTAAATGTGGATATGCGAAAATATTTCTCTATTTAACAATTTTGCGAAAAGTTCTATTTTTGTGTAAGTATTTCGTTAGCATTGAAACTGAGCGCAAAGTATGTACAAACACAAACTGGACGCTGATATTGAAATCATGAGTATTTAACTTGATTTGGTATTTATTTCGATAAACTGAGGAGATACATACGTATGTTGGTATGTAGAACTATAGAATTGCAAAAAAAAAGGTTTGGCATACTTTTTGGAGATAATCACACTTTTTCTAATGCCATTTAGACCACGTTTGCCGAATTTTTTGACTGTACGTGCTTTGGCTATAGGTAAGTGGGGTTAGGTTGTGGTGGACGCCCTCATCCAGATCCCGGCTGGCGGCAAACTTAGGGGCTAAGGAAGGCCTGATGTGATAACGTTTAATAATAGATTGGCGAAAACACATATGTTAGTGTTTTGGCCGAGCTTCTCCTCCGATTTGTGGCGTGCGCCTTGATGTTGTCACACAAACGGGAGAGATCTACAGTTTTATGCCGACTCCAAACGGCGATTGTATTTTTATGAGAAGCGGCTTTTCATGGCAGAAATACACTTGGAGGTTTGTCACTGCGAAACAGCTGTTAAGAAAAAAACCTGGATACCTAATACATACAGTCAAATCAAGTTCGAAAGTTGGTAAAATAAAAAAATTTTGCATGCTTTTAAACTCTAGTTCTAGGTAATGCAAAACTTGATTTAATTAACTCAGGAGGCTCAAAGTAAAAAAAGGTGGTCAACGTGTTTTCTTGCTCAACTACTTATTATTTACCTTAGAACTTCGAACACACTCGACCCAGTATCTTATTACATTAAGCGAACATATCCATAGGGTCCTCGGAAACGACTCAATGATGTTTATGAAATTTTGTAAACAGATAAGTGGGTATTATCTCCAAGAAGACTCGCATAAGGTTGCCACCTATTCGAAATTAGCTACAAATTAATTCAAACATCATAATATGGTTATTAAATGGAAGGTATTTTAAAAATACCAAAGTCAAAAAAAATTTTTTAATAGGGTTATCACCTATTTTGAATAGCACATTTAATTAATTTTTTGTTTAGAAAAAAAGGTTAAATATTACTATTCATGGAGAAAGTTGTCAAACAACGCTTTGCCAATATACAAGGTGTTATCCCTTAAGATAATAGTGTATGGTTGCCACTTATTTTCCATGCTACACAATTTATCTTAATCCTCGCAATATGGATATCAAATGAAAGATGTTGTTAAGACTTTTGGTACGAAAATATTTTCAATCAGGGTTGCCATGCTTCTATGTAATACAAATATTTAGTTTGTTAATTTCCGTCAGCATTTTTTTTTTTTGTATGTATACACAGTGCATATACGCTCAAGATATGTACATACTATTCATTCCAGCGTATTTCTAAAAAGGCTTGCCATCTAAATTTTAAAGTATAAAATGTACTTACTTAATAGATATCGAAATCCATTTTTTTCCAAAATATTTTTTTAAAGCTATCCAAATGACCAATATTTGATATCCAAATCTTGAATACTTTAAAAAGTGTATACACTTTAGGCAAAGCTCCGTCAACCTTGTACTTAGTATCTATACGTACTAATCAAACCACTGAAAGATTTTATTTCATCTCATTACAATTTTCTTAAAACAGGGTTAAAGTTTTCTCTGTCCGGGGAAAGTTCTTTAATTTTTGATGCCATGTTATATATTTATTCCTCTCCGTATGCGGAAGCCTTAGTAAATTTTTATACCTACATTTTCGTAGAACATTTTAATCCTATAACTGTCATTTTTAAAAAACGCGGTCAAAAAGACCCATTCCGGTGGGAGTTAAAGGGTTAAGCTGCTGTATGAAAATCGTTTTTGCTAAATTATATTACATATATCCTAAGACTAAAATCATGGTTGCTGTCGATTTACACGTAAAATGGTTTGTTTTAAAATTGGACTTTTGACAAAAAAGTGGAAATTTGGAACCATTGCAGAAAATAATTAGAAGAGATTTAGTAAAATACTATTGAAGCGTGACTACCACATACGGAAACTAATGTTTGATGGAGACCTTAAAACGGCTACCCGGCTAAACGGCATCTTTGGGTGTATAAAAGATTTACGATGCTTGATACTTTTCTTCATCGGTCTTATTTTTGCCCCACCCTTTCATAATATCGATGAAAGAAATGCTTCTGTAAGATAACTAAAATTTCTCTAAATCGACAAGGTATTAATATTCTTAAAATATTATAATGTTTAGCGATAGCGAACTCTTTAGAGCTTGAGAATTATTACTTCTCGATAAAATACAAAAAACTTTGCGTCCACAATACAGCGGCAGGCATTAGCTTGAACCCAAATGACGCCAACTTACCTCATACCCTTCGTCTCGCACAAGTGTAGCTCGCCAAAAACACCACAACCCAATTTTTCGACTATCACCAGAGCTTGACGCGGAAACTCTTGCACCTGAAAATTGGCCTGCTCCTCGTTGTTGACATCAGTACCAGCGCCATTTCCACTCAAATCCAAATTGTAATGATGCGGTTTTATACCAGCTAAAGTGCCGGCCGAACTTGAATAACCATAACCGCCCGTAGGCGTTGTAGAGCTCGATGCAAGACTGGCCGTTGTTGAGGCGAGACTGCCGCTTCCAGCACCAATGCTGCCATTGGGCAGCGTATTGCAGGTGGCACCCCCATTGGAGGCGCTACCACCGGCAGCAGCACCATGCAGGGCATTAGCGGCGGCGATGGTAGCATTTGCTTTGCAAATCGCTGTGGTTGCATAGTATTTTTCGTTGCTAGCATTTCCCATTAGTGGCGGTAGTGGTGGTATCGGTGGTGGTGGGCAATGCGTAGTTGCTGCTGCTGCTGCTGCTGTTGCAGAGTTCGGTGCTGGCGGTGGTGGGGGCGTCGATTGCGACTGATATGGATGCTGATGTTGGAGTTGCTGTAGTTTTTGACTGGCAGTGGACAATTTGGATTGGAACATGCTGTTGAGGGTATTGCGTGCACTAGTGCTGTAGTTACTGGTACTTCCACCGGCACTGGCGCCATAAATGGAGTTGGATTTTTGTGCGCTGGGCAATAGGTCTTGCATATGCGGCACTGCATACTCCTGGCACACAATGTCGGGCACGTCTAAAAGATACAGAGAAGGAATGTGAAAAAAATAAATAATTTTTGGCAAGTATGTTAGAATTTTATTTGTTAGTTCACGATAAGTTCGATTTAATATTATGATTTCAAACTTAATAAAAAATAAAATAAATAATATATTTATATCAATGAAAAGAATAAATTTTATTTAAAAAAGTATTTTATTGTTTAGAGATTCCAAAACATGGCGTATGCATAAAAACCAACTTACATTTCATAGACAGTCTTTATATGCTTAAATTTTTTTGAAATTCTTGCATAAAAAAGTGTGCCTGAATGAACGCACATACCATCACTTTTTTTTTAATATCAATATTTGATAAAAAAAGAGTTCCGTTTCGAAAAGTGAAAAGCCTTTGCTGTCAGACGCAATATGTTCCATTTGCAAAAGTTAACTCAAATTGAATGAGATTTTTTAAAAAGGGCAACCCTCATCAAAACTAATATCGTAATAAATCTTTCCTAAATATATTTCGTTCGATATCCACATTGTAATATGTCATTAAATCAATTTTAATATTTCAACAAATGGCAACCCTCTTCAAAATATGTTCGAAATAAAGCTTCTGCAATCTACTTCGCTTCACATCCAGAAATGTTTTAATAAAGGAACTGATGAAATTTAATTAGAGTTAAACAGGTGGCAGCCCTCTTTACAAATATTTTTCAATCTAAGCTTTCTATTACCTCTTACGATTGAAATCCATCCAAAATGTGTTTTTGTTAAGCAGGTGGCAGCTCTTCTTAAAATACAGCTTTCTTAAAGTACTTCATTTAATTTACAAATAAAAATTAATTTAAGTTTTTAAGTGGGTGGCAATTCTCTCTTGAACATATTTCTGTGAAAAGGTTTTATTAAAATCAGGTTTGTATGGCGTCCCTACTGTAAAATTTCATTGAACTTATATTTTAATTGCATTTAACTTTTTGAATAGATGGCAATCCTTTAAAAAAGGATGAGCGCTTTGACCTGCGGGCTGTGTCGGAACAACAGCCGCTGCACTTAAACGTAGAACACCTAAGCTAAAAACTGTACATAAAATATTGGTTTTATTGTATTGAAGGGAATTTAATAAGTCAATACGAATACAAAATATCATTCCTTTTTGAAGCAAAAAAAAGATAATTATAAAAAGGAAAAAAAAAAATTTTTTTTAGTTAGTGAAATTGAAGTAAATTTTTTTCTTAAAAAAATAAAATCTGAAAATTTAATTACAAATGGAAAAAATTAATCAAAAAAGAGGAAAAAGTACATATTTAATAATTGGATAAAATAAAAAAATTATATTTTTTAAATAAAATCTAAAAATTTAAAGAAAATTAACAAAAAAAGAAAAGCAAATAAAAAAAAGACAAAATGAAAATGAAATAATATTTTTCTTTTTAAACAATCAAATCTAAAAATGAATAGAAAATTGCACTTAAAATATGGAAACAATGAATTAAAAAGAAAAAAATTGGAAGTAGTTCCTAAAAATTAAATGAAATTGAAAAAAATATTCTCCTTTTTAAAACAATAACATCTAACCATTCCAAGAAAATCATATTGAGAAAGAAAAATGTTTAAATTAAAAAGAAAAAATTAAATTAAACTAAAAAATTTGTCTTTTTAAAAATAAAATCTAAAAATTAGAAGAGGACTAGAACTCGGATCTCTCTAATGGCATGCCTGTGCTTTGTTCAGCAGTAAAATGGTATACAAGAACTTTTTTTCAAAACAGCGAATAAAAAAATAAATAAAGAAGTTGAAAAGAAAAACACAAATTAAATGAAAAAGAAAATATATAATTGAAAAGAAAAAAATGAAATAAGTTCCTAAAAAATAAATTCAATAGGATTTTCGAAAAGTATATTTATTGATTTTGGTGTCGATTTCTATCGATATTTTGTCCGGCAAACTTATCGACAACTTATTGATAACATTATAAATGTGCCTATTCACATAGATTTCGATTGAGAAGTTCGTCGAAACAAATGGACTTATGGTTATCAATTACGAAAGTTTAACCGATTTTTTTTTGTCGATTTAAGACGACATATTTATCGAATTTTTGTCTGTTATATTTATCGATATAGCTATCAATATGTGTAGTTAAATTTTCATCTATATTTTATTAATCAATTTATCAATGTGCTTAGACATATTTTGTCGAATTATTTATCGTTACTTAAAGACCTTAACAAATTCGCACTAATATTTTACATTTGATGCAAATAAGCAGAGTTTTTATACATTCTAAAATTCAATTAGCTCAAATGCACTATTTTCTTAAAAAAAAAGGTTTTAACAATGAATTCCACTCAAACAAGTTCACACCGCTCTCACATGGATTTATGTGTTAGAGATTGGAAATTTTTGTAAACAAAACCACTGAGTGCTTTAGCCATTTAATATTTCCATTTCCCGTTAAACCGCTGAAATTGTTATGCCCTCATATTTACTAAAATGGATTTACAAAATAAAAAAAGCAGAAAAATAAATAAATAAATGTATGAAAACTATGGCTGAGTCCTTGCCCGCTTTACATGTTGGCCAATAGAGTTTTAGAGTGCAATTTAAATTCCATTTCAGCTGACATTTTCAGGATTTGCATGTGCACGCAAACATAAACAAGAATGCGTGCAAGTGCATGTACATAGTAAATACGTACACACTTATGTAGAAATAAAATGCAATGTGTAAGATGTGAAAGGATATGCATATAAATTCATGTCACACACACATACACACACACACACACACACACACACGCATACGAGCGCAAATGCATACTTTCCAAACAAATCAGCATACAAACATAAAAATCAAAACTTTTCACAACAACAACAGCATTTAGCATGCACGTATGTATATATACATATATGTGAGTATATTTGCGAGTGTGTGCATTTTGAATATAACACGCATATCAATGTTCCTTGTTGGTATGTACGTTTGTAAGTTGGGAAAATTGTGTGCGCGTGAGCTCTACAAAATCCTTAAATTCAATTACCATTCAAAACTTGGCGCCGCAAAAACATGCGATGCGAAAATAAAATCGCTTGCATTTACATGCATTCAGCACAGCGCGTTTTGTGCAACAAACAAAATACACAACACCAACAAGATGGAAAACTGGAAAACCAAAAACAATAACATCATATTCTCTGCAATCATGATAAGCAACGACAGCAGCAACAACAACAACAGCCACAGCGACAATAATAACAAGAATACGCCATCAATTTCTCACACGCTGGTGTAATGCAATTTCTTCAAGTATCCCCTCAATGCGCGCATCAACTTGCTTTGGAACACTTTTACTGTTGCTCATACGACATGGTGCACCAGTAGCTACCCAGTTGTCAGCGCGTTATCGGGTAATCAATCGTAAAAAAGAAGAGGCAGAAATGTTAAAAATGGGTAAATTGTGATGATGTGCAAAGCCGTGATTGCAGAATAATTTGGAAAGATGGGAAATTAGGCGGCCGCTGTGATCAAGTGGATAAAGGTGCCATAGTAACGGCAAAATTTTTGGTGGAGTAATTTCTTTATGAAACAAATCGGACCATAAATAAGGGGTTTCCAAATATCTCGACAGTGTCGAGTCGACACATGCGCCACCCAGCGGATTAATTCGTCTTTCATATTGCAATGTCGTCGGGTTCTGAGCTAAGTTCAAAATTTAAAGTCTCTAGATTATCGGGGAGTTGGCTAAAAAGTGATTCAAAGATTTGACTACACACAGGCGACACTAAATTAAAGCTTGTAAAAACATATTTATATTATTTCAGTAAATTTTTAGAAATGCCTTTTTTCTTTTAATTAATACTTTTTCTATTTTTTTGCGAAATTTTCTTATAATTTTTAAATTTCATAGTTAAAAAAAGAAAAAAGAAATATTTTTTAATTTAACACAATTTTTAAAAGTACACATATTAATTTTTTTATTTGTTCTTTTTCGATCTAACTTGTTTTTCTTGTGTTAATTTATTTTTCTTGAAATTTTTGTATTTTATTGTTTTAAAAGGAAACATATGTATATGTGTTTTTTTATTTAATTTATAGGGACTCATTTAATTTGCTTCTTTAATTATTCTTTTTTTAATTTTCAGTTAAATTTTCTTTTGGTTTTCAGATTTTGTTGTTTAAAAAAGAAAATAATTTTTGTAATATAATTAAATTTTTTAGAGTTTTATTTTACTTATTTTTTCTTGTGTTAATTTAATTTTATTTTATTTTTTACATATTAGTGATTTAAAAAGAAAATATATTCGTTTTGTTTCATTTAATTTTTGGAATTTTTATTTTTTAGATTTTATTTTTTTCTCTCCCTTTAATTTAATCTTCTTCTAATTTTATCATTTTGTTTTAAAAATAAAAATACCTTTTTTCTTAATTAAATAAAAAAAAATATTTTTTTTCTTTGTATTTCATTTCCTTTTTGACATATTGCATATTTTTATATTTTTAATTAATATATATATCTTTTATTTATTAGTATTTATTGTTTTAAAAATAAAAATATATATATATTTTAAATGTAATTCAAAAATGATTTCTAAAAGGTGACTAGCATAATGCTAAGACCTCCTCGTTAGCGGATCTTTCAATTAGTCTTTCGAAGTACATTAGAGAGCTTTCAAGAAAGTTTCCAGAATCGCAATATTCTAATCTCTTGATATTGAAGTCCACGCAGGCCGCCGTTCCTATTCGTAAACGATTTTCCTCTGTCCTTGGAACCATGTGTTAGTTGTAATGTAAATAGTTTGGGTCTAACTCGATGGTTTCTAACCCTGACGGCCCAAGATGTTATTAGCCTCCCTTATGAAAGCCAAAAGTTTCTTGGTATACGCATTTCTTATATTTAGGGTATCGCCTGTGAAAGAACTGAAGCATTGCAGTCTTAGTCTGGTCAATGCCAGACAATCACGCATAATGTGATCCAATGGCACCTCGTTTCTCTGCAAATACCCATCTAGTACATGTGAGAGTGCTGGTG